CAAGGTTAGAAACGAGAGGATTACGATGGTTCTGAAGTTTATTGTGAAAAGATAGGTATCTGGATTTGGTCAAATCCGAAAAATTAAGATCGTTAGGGATGATTTTATTTGTGACAAAGTAAGAAACATTGAGGATTTAACGAAGGATTTTGGATTGGATACGAGATGAATTCGATGGCTTAAAGAAGTCCCAAAGCTCAACTCCATATGTCTAAATAGGCCATTATGGTCATGTATATGAGTCTGTTATAGTTAATTGGGAGTTTAGAGTGTTTGTCTAGTAAGAGCTGAAGTAATCGGAATCGTTGAGCGGTTCCTTGTCTTTTTAGTCTGGCATGGGGATTCCAAGTTTGACGTTTTTCCAGATGCAGTCCTAAGTATCGGGTTTGTTCATCAGGGATAAGCGGATTATTATTAAAGGATACTGAGAGACAGGAACTCGTAGGTTTATGCCGAAGGGTAAAGGTAATTTGGGATTTATTGGAATTTATCTTGATTCGCCAGTTTTGACACCATTCTTCAAGATTTGTGATGTCTTATTGAAGATTTTGAGATGCAATTTATGGGCCGTTATTAACTGATAATAAAAAACAAACGAGCTAAAGTCTCCGATACTTAAACATTTACTTGTTATATAATATATTCTAAATCCTTTATATTTTATAATTTAAAAACAACCATTCTTTGTTAGGATGATGTGATCTACTTACGATCGTGCTTGCAGAAGCACAAGAAGCCTAGAGGGAGTTAAACCTACGAAATATAGATATCTAGATCACTTTGGGTCCACGTGATAAATCGGTATAGATCTATGGATTATGGCTGCACAGAGTCAGCAGGCCCATGAAGACCTTTTTTTCTTCTGCAGAAACATACTGTCCATGGAGCACATTTCTGGAAGGCGTCTGACATCCTGGAGAACAACATTAAAATAACCGATTAAAGTACATGGTGTAGTGTCATCATTCGTACACCTGGTCGGTGTAAGTTTACTCCAGAAGTTTGACAGGTTTCACATATTTAAAAGAAATCACTGGCATCTTTAACGGATTTTTAAAGTGAACTGTTAAACGATTCGGACTTACTTATCCATCTAAGTACGACTTTGATTACATATTGCAAGCACCTTAAGCTGCTTGGCCACCCGGCCTCCTAAATAATATATATATCTTGTCTATTTAGTTTTCTTATCCATTAGACAATGAATACACTGAGTCAACGTCAGTTGAATGTCAGTTTATCGGTCACCTTGGCAGTTTGTCGGAAATGTAGGTCAGGTCTAGCCAATTCACAAATGTCATTTTAATTTTGTAAATAATACAGTATATTTCGTCCGAGGATGAAATCATGCAGCATTAATTGTCAGTTTAAAAAAAAATGTAAGTAACTTGATATTACATACAATATAATATATTTGATATTACAAAAAACATTTGTAAATATTTTTTAAGCAATATCGTAGGGATACAATCATAATTAATTATGCCACATAGGTTCGTCCTCGGTAAGCTATCTTATTTTAGTCGAACCTTTATTTTGTGATAAAAAAAAAATAGAATGAAAAAATAAATAAATGTGGCCAAATCAACGTTAAATGACTAAAAAAAACAACAAGATAAGGCGTGTTCTTCTGCAGGCACGCATAGCGATATTGACCGGTTCACAAACGCACAGGGACAATATAATATCGGAGGATTTCTTCCAGCGATTAATTTTGAATAAGTTCGTTCACGAACGACAATCCTATTGAGAACGAGCAAGGAGGAATATCTGTTGATCCCTCCTTCGGTCGGAAATATATTCCTTTCAATGGCTTATATCAGATCGGCTCCTCATGTTAGAAGTTCACGTCTGATAGTTTTCGTGCAGTGGGAAGCAAAGATAAAGTTACTCAACAGTTTTCGTGCTTGTTTTTCCTCAAATTGATAGTAAGTTAGCCATTAACATTATTCTTGACATATTTTACAATCTAAATTGTATATTATGTAACAAGGTTTTATTTTTATTTTTCCTTTTATGAATTTGAAATTTTTCTTCACATTGTGATAGAATTTTCTAAATAATATTTGAGGTTGTTTAAAAAATATAACTTTAAGCCCGTTCCCCCTATTTCTAATTTGAAAAACTTATCTCGGATTACGTCCTCAGAAATACAGTTACATTTAAATGCAGAGAAAATAGTAATAATACAAAATGATATTTTAGTGGTCTTATACAAGAAATCAGATGTGGTATATCACACAATTTTCACTTACCATTGTACTTTTTAAGAAATTATTTTTAAAAAAGTCAATGAGTCTTGAGGACAAACTTACAACAATTATTACATAATATGAAATATTTTGATTTGTCAAAATGGGAAGAAATTCTTCCATTTACTATTCAAATTCAATTACATCTTCACAAGAAATATTTATTGTTAATTCAATTATTAACAAAAAATATATATTATTTTTTCGCATTAGAGACTTTTAATTATTTATAACCATCAGAATTAAATAAACTTTATTATAATAGAGATATGAGCACATCCCTACCATATTTTCAGAACATAAATAAAATAATAACAATATAATACATAGAAATAAGAAACAAAAACAAAATAAAATGCAACCGTTCTAATACAGGCATACTTATATACCGTATTTAAAATCAGGCAGGAAAACTCCGAACCGATTTTCATCTCCATACTCGAGGTGGGAATAGCGAGACTACAGGAGATCCCAACGCTCCTTTCTCAACCATTTCACTGGTATTCAGTGACTGATATTAAAGGCTATTTAATTTTACATGGATATAAAGAATTTAGACAAAACCGTTACAATTATTTTTGATAAAATTTTATAAATGTTAAAAATCGATTATATACTGTAATATTAGTAGGGAATGTGGATTTTAGGGAAAAGTTCTGTAGAATTTTTTTCTTTTTAGAGTTATGCAGTAAGAAAATAGAGGTGTGTTATAATTATAATATTTCTACAAGTATTGCAATACAGTGATTATAATTATCCATATTACTAAAATTCAAAATAATAGAGGTTTTTTTCGCGTATTATGTGGCTTGAATATTATAAGCCTGACGCAAGCATCGTGGGCGTTTGTATTGCATCATAACTCACTGCTTTATCTTGTTGTGTGCCGCTGTTTCGTTTTGCCAAATTTGACTCCTGTCGGTCATGGGTTGTTTGGTATAAAATTGGAAAATATAATAACCCATTTCAATCTTCAAGGAGATTTTACAATTTTTTAAGAATAGAAAATTCGATTCTTTCGATCTATTTGGCATGCATTTATTTGGCAATACAAAGTCGAAAAAAATAGAGATGGAACTTCTCTAATTCAAACTCAATTTACACGCTAATCCTCAATCCTTTAACTCAATAACAAAAGGCTGTATAGGTGCGCGAACCTTTAAAAACCTGGAACAATCGGAAAAGACCGTATGGAAATGCTCAAATTTGACCTAACTTCATTCTCAACTCCATGGCATAGTTATTGACTAGAAAAAAAAAAACATGTAAAACTTTCAGCTCATTTGATTCAAAGAATACAGCTGAAAAAGCCGCAATGTAACAATAAAAAAAATATATATAACCGTAAACTGAGAGAGATTCGAGAGTATTGTGCTTCCAGCACTATATTTCATAGTGAACTCGAACAATATCCCCAGTTTCCACCATACTTCTCAGACGTTCTGTTATTTAAAGATTATAGCGAAATATGAAATTGTTTTGATATTTAAAAAAGGGCAATGTCAATGTTATGTACGTTTATTTTTAACTGTAATTCTACTTCAGCTCAATTTACACGACTTTTTTTTAATGAAAGTACCCAATTTTTATACAATGAATTATGTAAAAAGTATTATAGTAAAATCCCCTCAATTACACCCTAAACCCTTCAATAAAACATCACAAGCCTTGAAGAATTGTGTCAAAATTGGAGGATTAAAATAAAGTCCAATAAAACTCATCAAAACTATAGTATCTTAATACCCCACTTATCCCTGTTGAACAGATCCGAATAATTAAATAAAAGGATTGATAGAATGAAATAAGTAAATAAAAATAACTATAGACACTTATAGATAATAAGATAGAATAGGTAAATAAATAAACTTTAAAAAAATATCAATAAAATCAAAAAAATTAGTTGAAATTAATAACCAAATGAACTTTTAAAATAAAAAAATAAAAAAATAAAATAAAAAATAATAGTAAATCTGCAAAGGATCATAATTTATAAACTTTTAATACCAGTGAACTGGTCGAGGAAGAAGCGCAGGGATCTCTTGAAGCCTTGCTTTCCCTCCACATGTCGGGGGATAAGTATGGTTCGGAGTTCCCATGGCCAACTGTAAATAGTGTAAAAGGTATGCCTGCATCTAAGATGTTTATTTTCATTTTTTTTTTTTTAAGGTAATTTTAATTCTATTTTATTCATTTATTTTCATTCTATTATTACTATTATTTATATTTTCTTCCTTCACTATGATATTTTATTTTGTTCTTTTGTAGCTTTATATTAATTGAAGTTAGCTTATTTTTTTTTATTTATAAATATGGTGTGAATGTGCTCTCAGAACTCTATTATAAATGTCCTTTATTGAGACAGATTGTAATATTTATCAATAAAGAAATAATCAGAAAAAAATTTATAAACTTGTCATATATGTTGTTTCAGTCTTTCATTATCTAGGAACTTGATAACTTTGGTAACGGTTTCTTCTTGATTTCCCAGGGATGCTGATATATTCTGGGGTATTCCTAGATCTTTTAACCTAGTGGTGTAAAAAGGGTATTCTTCCAAAACGATAAGATTCTCAAGAAGTATTTTCATGTTATTATATTTCTGTACTGTGTTCACATTAACTGGATATATTTTTAATACAGTTATAAATATTAGGAATAAAAAAAAAGTATCCCTTAAGAGAAATAAACTCGAATTGTGAAATTATTAAATGGAATCTAAAACTAAATATTTATATTATGATTTGAGACCGGACGGAGACAGATGCCCTTTGAAGGGACGGTGTCAGCCAACTCGGGGTCGAAGAAATGCCGCCATCGGCGGTTTTAGAGTTGGAAACAACTTCCTCTCGGCTCTTGTGATCAGGGGCAATTTGGGGGAGTCGGAGCTGTGTAGCGGCACGGATTATGGACATTACCAGGGAGCACGATAAGTGAATTAAGGTGTGGGGGGGGGGGATCACAACAATCGAATTAACATAAATTGTTTTTATTTTTAAGGAGCGAAATTGAAAACTTAAAAAAAAAAATTACGAATCCTTATCCATGAGTGATCTCATAGCAATGTCGTCATCTGGTTAGCTGTTAGCTGCACAGAATTACACAACTGCAACCCTGATTCATCCACTTGTCATTGTCAATGGAAATATGCATAATTTAACGGCTCATTAATATTCCGCTCGAAGCGCACATAATCGAATCGATTGAACGGGCGGCATTGTAATCATATTTTAATTATGATTATTGAACATATAATTACTCTTCAGTTAAACATATAAAAAAGTCCAAATAAATTATTTCTAATTTTCTGAGAAAAAAGATTTTAAATTGCCGAACTAAGGTAAGAAAGGAGTATCATATGTGGATGATTTTCCGATTTTGGGAAATTTTTTCGTAATATTGAATACATATATGGAAATTTGACTTTCGAAAATAAATATTTAAAAAACTACCGAGTAAAAACAAAAAACAAAACAGACAAAAAGGAAGTTAATTTGTTGTTTCATTACTATTAGTGTTGCCCAAATGCGAGACCGAGACGAGTCTTGGTCTTGCGCGAGAGTCTCGCAATAGTCTTGTAGTTACTTATTAGCTTATTACTGTAAAGATATTACTGTAGTTTTTTAGATAGGAGAAACCTAACTAAGCCCAAATGAAAAATTAGAGGAGTTAAATGCAAAAGTATATTGGTTATACCAATTATTAAGATATAGTAACTGAGATTGTCAAGTATTAGTAACTATTTTGCCTTAATTTTTATTTGAAACATCGATTTTTTCTACCAGTTGTAGTCTTGGCAACAGTTAGGCGGCCTTATTCTTGGTCTTGAAAAGTGCAAGACCAAGACCGATTTTGGGCAACACTAATTACTACTCAAATCAGAAAAATGATTAAAACTTTGAAACCCTTCTAATTATTATACAATAGTTTATTATATTCAAATAGTTATATGAATCAAATCTGTATGAGTATCCACGGGCATGACTTTCCTTTCCGTTTCTTGAAATTTTTTGGCTAAGATTGATAAGAAGATCGCCAAGTTTTTCCAGACCTTTTTCGGTGAAGTATAGTATATACTCGTAAATACATTTATAAGGCTTCATAGGGACATTTGAAGAAATTTCCATCAAAAGCATTAGAGCCGTTTCGGTAAAGTTTCTATACAACAGGAGTTTATCCGGCCTCAACCGAAAAAGAAAAATAGTGAACAAAATCCGAAAGTCACTTCTCCAATACCAACTTAACTTCAAAAAAAAAAAAAAAAAAAAAACGTTTGCACAAGCCGAAATTTTTCTTAACTATTATGGTATTGTTTTGTTACGAAAACAACACTTTGATTTGATCCAATGGAGCGACCCCCATTTTATCAATCGTGTTCTAGGAGTTCAGAAACGGATAGAAAACGCAATCCGAACCCTACTGAGTACTTCTCATATTCTATTCAAATATCTCTTATTTTCAGAAAAAAATATAGACAAAAATTAAATAAATATCAAAAATAAAAACGAGTGATATCAAATGAGAGTATTTTTAAGCACATTTCCTGTGAAAAAATGATTTAATTAACTTAACTTTTTCCTACCTAAGTAATCATTTTTTGTTTTTAGTTCTTAATGAAGATGTAAATTCTTTTCATACGTTTCAATAATTTTTAATTTAATTCATTATTATATAATTTTAGCGATAAATCTTGTTATTAATATATTTTTATATACAGAACGGATTTTATAATTTGAACAAATAAATTGCATGTACTGTTCGGACAATAAAAATGTTCTGATTATCAACAGTCAAATTTAATATTTTGGAAACATTGAAAAATGTAACGAAAATATATATTTTCCATATACGTATGTTTATTATTATATTAACTAATATATATAAAATAATTTATAATAGGTTAGTCAACAATTTTTTTTTAAAATATTTTTTGAAATGTTAGCTGTTTTTAAGTTAAATATGACTGGTTTATATGATAATATGGTATATGGTTGAGTATCAATTACCAAACTTTTGAAATTACCAAGCCAAGTTTACTGGAATTTTCTTTGTTATCCTTCGTAAAAAAATTTGTTAAAGAAACATTTTTCAACAAATACATTGCCGAAAAAACCTTTTGATATCTAATGTAAAATCCATAAATAAAGAGATTTCTTAAATTCTGGATTACCGCCTAGCTTGAACGTTCCCGGTTTAGAGACACTAAAGTACGACTTCGACTCAAACACACAAAGTAATTCCAGTAATATATTACGTTTTTTATTTCTTGTTCTTATTATAAAGTGTATCGGACTATCAAAACTGTCCTGTATATATTTGTATAGCTTAATTCAATATTTATTTTCTACTATTGTTTTTAATTATAATTGTTCTCATTGTTCCAGCTCGTTTTATTACGAAAGAATATTGAGTAAATACTATAATGGATTAAAAATTTATCATAAAATGAGAACTTCATGGTGAAAAAACTTATGAGCGCAATTTTAGTTTGGAAGATTTTTTAATCAATCTTGGCCTCATAAATATTAAAAAATACAAAACAAAAGAGTTAATTGGAAATTTTACATTATTCCCACAATATTTTTTGTATTTGCAACGTGTGGATGTCGGTATATTCATATATTTTATCAATACATAACCTAGTTATTATACGAACTAGTAGTTGACATTAAAACGTTTTATTATTGACTTGTTATTATACGCCCTGCTCAAAGCGGAATGAATAAATATTTATATTATCGATGAATAAGAGGCCTGGTATATACGTCAACAATTCTGTATTCAGCTTAAAAGGAACTTCCGTGTAAAAATTGAAAATCGATTCATGGAATTCGATAATTCGTTGAGTATGAAATATTTTCGTTGATAACTTCCTTTAATAATTCCAGCCCTTTGTGAACCACGGATTTAAATACTCCGTTAATAAATATAGATCTATTTTTATTATACAATGTTTATTATATACGCCAAAAGTAAAGTGTTCAGTCTTTTTTTTTTTTTTTTTTTTTTTTTTTTTTTTTTTTTTTTTTTGTCATTTTCCATTATCCTTTACGACTCAATATTCTATTTATTCATTTTACCAAAATCTATAGCTTTATAACGATGCGTTATATATTTAGTCGTATTCCCGGAAATTCATTCTCAACAAAGGAGAATATTTCTCTTTATTTTGACCCGCAGTTAATTATAAAATGTTTTCATACTTTATATTTATTCATTTTCTATAACTAATAGTATTAAGAGACAGTGAGTTAATTATTTTATATGAACAAAATTAAATGTGAGAAATAAATAAATAAAAAAAATCTGCGTTTAAAACCGGTAGACTATTCCAATGAATATATAAACGACCGATAAATTTTTCATCGATTTAACGAATTTAATCAAAATCGTTAGAGCCGTTTTCAGAAAAATTGTAAAACGGTGTAATATCAACTATATGGAATGGCACTTTTGGTAAATCGATTTAAAAAAAAAAAAAAGTAACTTCAAAGTTTCATTTTCGCACGAATTATATTTTTTAAACTATACTGTTCGCATAGGCATCTATAGACCATTCAGAGAAACTTGGTATGCTACTTAAATGTTATATTTCTAGTGAAAACTCGTATTAGAATTTGTTCCCAATAGCAGTGCATTTCGTTATTATCTAATCAATATATGGCTAATTGAAAGCCAAAAAATTAGTGACTTTGTGAAAACTATTATTTCTTAAAGAACTATCAGTTATCCTTTAAGAACTATTAGTTATTATTTAACTACTATTGTATATACTTTTGATTATATTTTTGTTCTATTTATTTTATTTTTTTGTACATATAGTGTGAATGTCATCCTATATCACTATAACCAATGTCCAAGAGACAGATTGTTATAATACTCAATAAAGAAATTTAAAAAAAAAAATTATTTAACTATTATCATATATTTAAAGAAATTAATATTTTTTGTTTGAAAGTTAATATCCCTACATATGATGAATAAATTAATTTTTGTATTTTATTCACAATTTTCGTATATATTTGTATTAATACACTTTGGATAAACCAGCTCTCCCGCTAAACCGGTGAGCTATCCTTCTTGACGAAACGGTACAGCCATTGCAAACCTTTACTTCCGATTGTACCAGGATATTAACAGTTTTCAAGACATATATAGTTATAAACATTAAAATTTTCTATATATAGTTTAGATTTTTCTTTATGTATAGATTTTTACTTTATATATATATATAATGTTATAAATCGAAAAATCCTAACTAATAAAGCCATGAGTCTCCATGAGAAAAAGAGAGATAAAACCAATTTGCTATTGACATCATATCAAGCCATTCAAATATATAATGAAGAAATCAGAAGGTTCCGTAAACACAAAACAGGAAAGTTATATTGAACATCTGATATATAAATATAAATATATATATTATATAAAATAGTTTTTAGTAACTATCATATTTTATTTTAGTATTAGGATAGTAGGAGATTGCACTAGTTCATCGATTATTTTACAAATTATACAGCTGTTCATTTGATTAAATATGTGTTGAGCTCCTTTTACCTACTGTTCTCCAAATACAAAATAAAGATTTTACACTAAAAAATTGTTTATGTTGGTAAAAAATTTATTTTTTGTTAATAAAAAAAAATACAGTCAGAACTACAGAATACATGTAAACTAAAGTTATACAATTTAAGCAACGAGTAATACCATTTAATAAACAGTTGTATAATAGGTGCTTGTGAACAGGAGGTATTCCCCTAGTATTATCATATACATTTTTTTTTATTACGTGATTTTTTTCTAGATTGAAAACAAAATAAGAAATGATTACTTAGGAATAAAGATAGTTGACAAATACTATTAACTAGAAAAACAAACTTGGGAGAACAGTGTATAATGTATTTTTTATAATTTT